AAAAAAAAAAAAAACCAACAAAGTCCTAAGCACTTCTATCTCATATCCCATGGGATTGTAATTCATCAACTTCTATAATTGCAATGATCCTCTTGGTCTATCTCCTAAATCCAGACCGCACCTCCTACTTTATCTCCAGAGGTGTGCAGGAAATCCTAAGAGGGATTTACAGTCTAATAAATGTAAGGTTAAGTGAATTCCAAGTATCCTTCCCAGTTTCATTTCTGTCATTGCAGTCATAGTCCCCTCATCAGTGAAGTTCAAAACTTGAGAATCATGGACCATCTCTCCCACTTCTCTTCATTTTATGTCTAATTTATCCATTAGCCCCAGTAGATTATCCCTTTAAAACATAACTGTGTTCTTACCTGCCAGTACTATTGTATGGCTTGTTTTCTTGGCTTTTCTACCTTCAATTCAACTGAACCTATGTGAATACCTGGATTAGCATCCTCAGTACTTCTTTCACTGCATCCCTGCTCTAGGATCTACAGTGTCCACCCATCTTGCCACCATCTGGCCTGATTTAGCTGCACGACAGTGATGCACACCTCTGTGGATGCCAAACCACCTCGGCAGGCAACACAGCATCTTCTCTCCTCAGTGGGCAAACTCAGAGTTGTTTTGGATTTCTCTGCTCCAAAAGTCATCCTTCCTTATTGCTATCCATTCAGATTTTTCAGTATTAAGGTCACGGAATCCTATCAATATATATGGGTTCAGCAGCTAGTTCTGTCAAGTTAATTATCAGCTCGGAGCAACAGCTCAGGCATACAGGGTCATGTCACTTAACCTCCAAGCCCCAGTTTCAACGTCTATAAATTCATATGATTAGATTATATAGTTATTAAAGTTCTTTCTAGGTCAGACCATCCATGATTCTAGGACTCAAAGTTAATGGATCTTTCCCTTACTATTGCAACCCTACTCTAGCTCCTATTAAATTTTGCTGTATTGTTTATTATTATGTATTAAGGCGTTTTTCTCATATAGAAGTCAATAAGATTTTGAAGTCATGAAGCATAGCTTGTAGCCCACTCGAGGCTCTCTCCAACCACTCTGTCTGATATACGTTGCTACTTATGAGAAGGACACAGAAACATGCAGCAGACTTTGAACAGCAAGACTGGGTTCCAGACCAGGCCCTGCTACCCACTGGTCTTACCACCTCTGTCCCTAGGTCCTCAATTTATCATCATTGGAATGAGAGGATAGGTGAGGTCAGTACTTTTCAAAAATGTTAAATTTCACAATGAATTTTACACAGGACCTAATGAATGTAAAACAGATAAAGGCGACCTGTTTTGGCTGAAGCAAGGAGCGATGGAGACACCCTAGTATTTCTCTTTCCTACTGAAGCAGGCTATGCGCACACCTCTAAGGAACTCCCAAGCTTCCCTAGACACTGATTGAATATCACTGGCCCGGACAATTTCTTCTGAAATTACTCTCTAAAATCTGTGCTAGGTTTGGATGTGGTTTGTTCTCCCAAAGATTTGTGTGCTGAATTCCTGGTCTCCAGGGTGGCAGTGGTGGGACCTAGTGGGAGGTGGTGAGGTCACTGGGGGAACTATCCTTGCAAGGGATTAAAATGGTTCTTGCAGGACCTGGTCACTTCCCACAGAGAGGGTCATTCTAAAAAGGGCAAGCTGGGCTTCCTCTCTCACCAAGTGAGCTCATCATCTTGCACACACTATCACCATGGCGTCATCCATCATATTGTGATACAGCTGAGAGTAGGCTGAACAAAGGGGTCACCCAATCTTGGACCCTCAGGCACCAAAACTGTGAGGCAGACACATAAGCCTCAGGTATTACCCAACCTCAGCTGTTTTGTTACAGTAACAGAAAACATACAAATGCACCTGCAGTTCTAAATATTTAACACGGTTGACTTGACCGCACCCATACCCTCTATTCAAATTCCTCTTACGTGCTGCTAGATGTATGTCACATCCCATCATATTCTGTGGTGGGGACACCTTGTTACAAGAGCTTGCTTGCCAGGAGGAAGGAATGGGGATGCCCATGAGAAATCTTGACAGGAGGAAGAAAGAAAGGGAGACAGAAGGAGAAGACAACATTGCCTACCCACCACTGACCTGCTGATCCTGGGGACCTGGACCCTGAAGCCTGGAACCTCCGACTGATTTCTGCCAGGCATCTGCCTCGTGTTTATACTGTCTGGTCGGGGTGGATCAGGTCAGCAGCAATCTCTGTAATTGGCTCCTGTGCGGGGAGGAAGAAGAGCCCAGAGGTTTCACAATGTCTTCAGCACAGCATGGATAATAAAAAGGTGGGGACATTAATGAGTGTTTATTGAAGGGGGAGAGAGTCACCCATAAAGCCTCAGTACAGGCGAGGCACTGGGCCCTTGCTCTGTAGTTACTATCACAGACTCTATCATTAGTGGTGTAGCAGCCAAATAAACAGTGTTGGGGTCAGACGTCTTTGCTGTCCAGGGGCTCTATCCCAGTCTTGGAGAGATAGTGTGAGCATAAGAGAGAGTATGTCTGAAAGCTCCAAAGAGAGATAAACCTCTGATGCCCGAAGCCAGGCCACAGAGATAGAGCTGAGATGATAGCATCATGAGTGTGGCTCTGTTGGAAAGGTGGGAGGGAATCTCTGCTTTCCAACAGACTTGATTATGTGGTCCCGCCTTGATGAGATAGAACATCAAAAAAAATTTTTTTTCAAAAACCCACACAGCTGTAAGGGTCATACGTCCTGAGCTACTAGGGAATATGATGGTGTAAGCAAGACAGGGTAAAGAACACTCAGGTCTCTAATTGACACTAACTTACTCAGTCTAGCCATCCACCCATCCACCCATCTCTCCATCTCTCCATCTGTCTGTCTACCCTTCGACACTTCCACCCATCCATCGGAAGGAACAGAGAATCTTGGGCATAAGGCCTTATAGAGAACAACAATCCTATTGTAATTCTCCCTCTTAGGTCACTTGAAAAATTCGACAGAGGGTTTGGTGAGGAAGTGGGAAGGGTCATGGCAAAACTGATAAGCTTGTGGGATGAGAAACAAGAAAAGATGGTAAAAAACAGGACTGGGTTGTTGCTTTCTATGGTCAATGAACACTCTTCACACCCTCTCCCAATCTCTCTCCCCGACATGGGAAGGGCCAAGGTATGGTGTATTATATCAGGTAACCAGTGAGTGTTTACTAAGCCTTTATATTGCTATGTGATAAACACATACAATACACAGTCCCTGTTGTTAAGTAGCTTTATAGCCTGGCTGGGGAGTTAAGCATTTGAAAAGGTAATATAAAAGACCAGACTTTCTAAGCTGTGGGCCAAGGGCAGATTGGAGACAATAGTGGTAGAAAAACTCCTTGGATAAAAAGAATTCTTAGGACTGATAAATGGCCTTAGATGTGGCATCACAGTCTCCCTCGAAATGCGATAACCTGTGCTATGGAATCCCTGAGAAATAAATAGGTTAACTGGGCTTTTCCTCAACATCTTCAGGATCAGAGCCCTCATAACGTCTTTATGAAGCTTGAATAGTGTTTGTGGTCCCTGTGGTTAACATTTGGGACTCATGGGGCCAGCGCTGTGGCACAGTGGGTTGAGTTGCTGCCTGCAACACTGGCATCCCAAATGGGCGCCAGTTCAAGTCCCAGCTGCCCCACTTCTGATCCAGCTTCCTGCTAATGCACCTGGGAATGCAGTGAAAGATGGCCCAATGGTTTGGACCCTTGCAGTCCTGTGGGAGACCCAGATAGAGTTCCAGGCTCCTGGCTTATACCTGGCCCAGCTCCAGCTGCTGCAGCCGTTTGGGGAGTGAACCAGCAGATGGAAGCTCGTTCTCTCTCTCCTCTCTTTCCTCTCTCTCTCTAACTCTGCCTTTCAAATAAATAAATTAAAAAAAAAAAAAACTGGGGGCTCATACAGGAGAAACAGCTTCCACAATTTCCACTCTTGTGTTCCGCTTGTGCTCCCTGGGATTACACAGACAAGTATATTCTTGTACGCGACAGATCTTTGACTTCTTGAAGGGGGCTCACTGTGTATTGTTCCTTTGGGATAAAGACCCTCCGTGCTTGGCTTCTTCCCTTACGACTTTGTCTGTTCCTCAGAGCATATAACTGGCACAAACCCTACACCATGTGGGTATCACACTTCTACCAACATAGACCTGGGTCAGTGGTGTTTACTAAGATCCCAGAAATCTAAAGCCAGTAGGTTCTTCTCTCCTGGACAATCATGATCCATTTGGTCACCCTTTCCTTCTATCTGTCTTTCTTTTTTACTGACAGGCAGAGTGGACAGTGAGAGAGAGAGAGACAGAGAAAAAGGTCTTCCTTTGCCGTTGGTTCACCCTCCAATGGCCGCCGCGTGTTCTAGTCCCAGTCGGGGCTCTGGATTCTGTCCCGGTTGCCCCTCTTCCAGGCCAGCTCTCTGCTGTGGCCCGGGAGTGCAGTGGAGGATGGCCCAAGTACTTGGGCCCTGCACCCCATGGGAGACCAGGAGAAGTACCTGGCTCCTGCCTTCGGATCAGCCCACACATTCTAAAGCTACTGCTTTACCGTCCCCACTTCTCTACTGACTTACGAGTGTTGACTCATCCCAGCTAATGCCCTGTTGAAGTCTGTCATCCCACAAATGGTGACGCAATCACTTCGAGCTGGCAAAACCTTCAAGAATGAGACGGGATTTGAGCTGCACTCTTAACTGGTGGAGGAGAGGGGGGAGAATGTCCCAGGATGGAGAAATATTTCCCACATTCTATACTCATGGGCCCCCATTATTTGCCAACTGTTATGCTAGGTACTTGGAAATAAATTGAAATTGACGCAGCCCTAACCTTGAGGTCATTCCAGGGGTCTCATACTCCCCAAGGCAACCTGCTACCACGCAGGGCTATGCACCGAGCAGATGACCAAGGATCTCAGCTCAGCAAAACCTTCTCTGGGGACATGTTGTCTCAACAAGGTAGTGAAAGCCCAGAGATTTCTTTGTGCAGAGAGGGTGAGTGAAGAACCCAAAAGCAGAGGAAGCACCATGAGGCTGTATCTGGGGCTATGGACACAGAATGTGACCTCGGTCTGCAGAAACACAGCCTGGTGCCCGGAGCTCGTGTTCTCAACAGCCCTGAGAGGCTGCCTGTTGTCCATGGACTTCAGCTGCATTTGGGCAGGTGCTTCTGAGATCCATGGAGGTAGCCCCTTCTATCCTGGCCACCTCCATGTTGGCCTTTCAGCAGACTCTGAACCTGTTAGACTGCTTCAACAGGGGAGGTATATGTAGAATACTTGGGGTCCCTCCTCTGTCTTCTCCCTGGTCCTCCAGGGTTTAGGTGGGGACACTGGGGACAGTCCCTGGCACATTTGGCTGGAAGTGCAAAGTTATTCAGAGAAGATCTGACCAGTGTAGAAATAGACTATTCAACAAATTATTATGATTGGATTTTAAAAGGAACACTTGGGTTAATAAAAGGGCTCTTGATTTTTTTTAAAGATTTACTTATTTATTTGAAAGGCAGAATTAGAGAAAGGCAGAAGACAGAGGTCTTCCACCCACTGGTTCACTCCCCAGATGGCCACAACAGCCAGAGCTGGACCAATCTGAAGCAAGGAGCCAGGAGCTTCTTCCGAGTCTCCCATGTGAATGCAGGGACCCAAGGACTTGGGCCATCTTCCACTGCTTTCCCAGGCCACAGTAGAGAGCTGGATTGGAAATGGAGCAGCCGGGACTTGAATCAGCACCCATAATGGACAGTGGCACTGTAGGCGGCGGCTTTACCTGCTATGCCACAGTGCCGGCCCCCTTTACTCATTTTGAGCATGAGAGTGAAAATATAGGAGAGAATTACAATGATAATACTTAAATGCATTTATTTTCCTTTTGGGGGTATTAGTTATCTATTGCTCTATAACAAGTTACTGCAGAACTTAACACAGCAGGCATTGATTGTCTCACGGTTTCTGAGGGGCAGCAAGGTCGAGCAGCCTAGCCCTCAGCAGGCTTCAATCAGTGCGACCAGGCTGCCGGCTGGGCTACAGGCACCCGAGAGCCTGTCCAGGCTGAAGGACTGGCTGCCTGGCTGCCCGGCTGCCCGGCTCAGCAAGCTCACCCATGTGGCCAGTGGGGGGAGACGCACTTTGGATCACGTGGGTCTCTCTATAGATAGCCACAGTGTCTTTTACAGCCCAACCTTGGAAGTGGTGTATCATTACTTCTTCTGCCACATTCCCTTGATCACAATGATGACTGGGACAACGCGGGAGGGAATTCATACAGTGTGTGAACACCAGGAGACGGGGATCAGCCGCAGCTGTACTCGTTTCCCGGGACACTGAGCCAATTCCCATAACCTCAGTGCTTTAGCACAACAGAAACTGATTCCCTCACAATTCAGGAGACCACAAGTCCAAAATCAAGCGTTGGGCCGGCCAGGCCCTCTCTGAAGACTGCAGGGGGAGAATGCTTCCTCTGTCAGCCTAGCTTCTGACAGCCGCCACATCCTTGGTGCTTCTCGGCTCGTGGCAGCATCACTCAGTCTCTGCCTGTGTCTTCACACGGTCTTTTTGTCTGAGTCCCCTGTCCTTCCAGAGACATGAGTCATCTTCGGTTTAGGTCCACATAACTGTCTTGACTAACTAACTGCATCTGCAAAGACCCTCTCTCTCCAAGTTAGGTCACAGTTCCAAGTTCTGAGAAGTTCTGAATTGGGGCGTGGGCACAGTTCATCCAGTACAACAACCCCCTTGGGGGCTGGACCCCACACCTTGTGGTCACAGGGGCTATGAGCATTCCAGGTTCCAGCACAGCACTTTTATTTTCTTGTAAATTCCTTACCCAGGAGATTCCAGTCACACAAACCTACCACACTCCCCATCTTGGGGGCTTTGTGGGGATCTCTTTTCTGGTCCCTGCTCTTGCTGCCCGAGCAGCAGAGCTCAATTTATTTTGAATTTCTTTCCAGGGACAACTCAAGCATGCGGTCAGCCCTGCTGGCCTCAGGATCAGTGGCATTTCTTATTATTAGATAAGGAATCCATCCTTGTTGCACAACAATGAGGAAATATGGAGAAGTAAGAACATAGAGAAGTTACCTATACTGCCACCACGATAACATGACTATAATTGACATAAATCTTCCAGAATTTTTGTCTAGACAGAAATACATGGGCACTTTTAAAAATTCAAATGAAATTATAAATTGCACTACTTTGTGGCTGGGTCGTCTCACTTATGGTATCTCGAGCATCTTCCCATGCACGTAGACATCGGCATCTGGGATTTTCATTGTACCTCGGGTTCCAGAGATGCATGCCCTGTCCATCTTCTGCCTTCCAAGCTGGAGTCATTTCCTCTGACACCACCGCTTGTCCACAGCCAGAGGATGAGGGCAGAGATGGAAAAGGCAGCAGCAGATGATGGCCAGATGAATGGGAAGGAGGAGGGGCTGGGGGCCTTGAGTCACTTAACTGTACAACCACCTCTGTCTCCTGCACAGTGGGGAATAGCAGGACCTTCATTGGCCACCTGACTGGCCTGTGGAGTTCAAGGGCACTGGGTCTGTTTTGGCTGAGCATGAAGTATTCTCAACCCAGCTTCCACCTTCTCCCTTTGAAAACTTTTTATGTTATTCCCAGTTTAGCGCATGCAGTTCCTATGAGGTTCCAGACCAACAGCACCACTCAAGAGAGAGGGAAACTGAGCTCAGGTCCCAAATCTCAGAAGAATTTGCCCACAAATTCAGGATCAGGAAGTGAGAGCGTGGCCACGTGCGCAGTAAGTCTGAGCACACAGGGGGCGGTCACCCATTATGGGGCTCCTTCACCCCCACCCCCGCCCCGGCTGGCCCTGCCCAGGGAGCTCTGAGGGTCAGGTCACCCTAGTCACACTGCTGGAAGTAGAAGTCCGTGATGGGGGCATCCCAGCCAGCATTATCGGGGATCTGGGCGAGCCTGACAGGCTGGTCAGCCTCAGGCACTGTGCACAGGAACCAGCCTGGGTAGGCAGCTGACTCAAAGCTGGAGGTGAGCCCCATGTCCCGCCGGTAGAAGGTGAAGCTCTTGGACTCCTGGGCGTCGCGGTAGAGCTCCATGATATTCACTGGCTGCCGGCAGAGAGGCAGGGCTAGTGAGAGGCAGGAGTGGGAGCGCTGGGAGGGCTGGGCTGGGGGAGGGCAGGAGGAGGCGGAGCTGCTGCGGTCGGCAGGACCCAGCCAGGGTGTCCTGAACAGCACCGCAGCACAGAACACCCAGTATCTGTTGGCTCAATCACCAGATGGTGCGGGTGCCTCGTCTCGACTCACCTCTAACTTCAGAGTTGGCTCCTGCTCCATCCCACAAGACAGGCACCTGCTTCCTCCTTGGACACCCAGGATGACTGGCGAGAGCCTGGCATCCAGTGACCGGTTGGGGACAACACTGATCTCCTCGCCTAGAGGGAGGAGGCAAGATGCAGGGGGCCTTGACTGCCCTTCTGTCCCCACTCCCCTCCACAACCCCACCCTGGACCCCAGGGAGCAGGACCAAGGTGAGCAGACAGGGAGCCTCTTAGCAGCTGTTGCGTGGGGAAGGCTGGTTTCCTGCCTGCTGGCCCAGAGTGGACATCGAGGCACACAAGCACACTGCAGCACCTCCCATCCCACCCGCTGGCTCAGGACCAGATCTCCCAGGCTTCTCTAACCCCAAGTAGATTCCAGGACCCTTGGCATTCGGGTCTCTTTTCCGAAACTTGTCTTGAGGAGCCTCCCATTAGAGCTGTCTGGACTTCTTCCTACCCGCTGTGAGATTCCTGAGAGCGTAAGAGTGTCGTGTTTTTTCTGCACAAGCTCACACACATACATGCATGTATACACACATTGCAGCCATACACAGGTGCTCACAGATACCTGCACACGCACACATACACACAACCACAACATATGCACGCACATGCTTGTGCACACACACTTGCAGTATGTACACATACACACATAACCATGACATGTCCATATATATGCACACCAGTACACACCCGCACACATGCACACATAACCATCTCATGTATGCATATATTCACACACACACACACACGGATACATGACTTAGCACAGGCGCTCTGCCTGGCCTCAATGTCCCATAAGCACACCCCAGATGGACAGGGTGCATTGCTGTGGAAAGAGTTTTCAGTGTGGGGGCCAGATGGCACCACCACCCTGGGTGGCTGAGGGTCCTCAGAGAGTGGAGAGGGTCCCAGGGTGGAGAGACAGGCCCCACCCCCGCCCCACAGCGGGTTATGAAGACAGAGAGTCTGCTGCACTTCTCTCCTCAGCGCCGACTCCCAAGAAATGGAACAGTCTGGCCCAAGGCTACCTGGGAAGGAACGACAAACCACTCCTCCTGGAAAACAGTCCCACCTCTGCATAGAGGCTTCAGCATCGCTGGGGCTGGGGTCCGCTGTCTGCTGGAAGCCTGCTCTAGGCGGCTCTGCCTGCTGGGCTAGGCCTGGACTCACCGCATGGCTGCTCCAAGGCCTCTGCAGACCCCTCCCCACCCAGAGAGCAGAGAGACGTGAGCAAGTCCTCAGGTTCACCAACCTTTGATGACCTTCCCTGCGTGCAGCCCTCCAGCCAGAAGCTGGTCATTATGCAGATAAAGCACCTTCAAGGCCGAATCCTTCATTCTGGAACATTGGGAGGGGAGAAAACTCTATCAGGGGAGGGATGGGTGCCCCGGAGAGCACCCCAATCGCAGGCATTTATCTCCCTGCTGTGCTGGATGTCAGCCCGGTCTCCTAGCCCTGCTGGCTCATGCCCTCCCAATGGATGACCCCTTAGGGGTTGGCTCCATATTTTCAACTCCAATCAATCTTCCCCATGTGCTGTGCTGGAAGAGACACTGGACCGTGAGTTGGAGCCTGGGTTCTTGTCTCCACTGTATTGCCACCGCTGCTGGTTTACAACAGATAAGTCACTCACCCTCTCTGGGCCCAAGTGTCCCCATTGCTAAACCAAAACAATGGATTAGAAAACAACTGGACCACTTTTTGATTAAAATCTGATCCTTAGCTGCTACCCAAGACTGTACGTTAATTTGTTTCCATTTGGCACATGTCCCTACTAAGTGAAGAATTTCTTAAAATTTAACATTTTTTCATCTTTGTTTTTCCGAGTTATCTCCTACCTACGGTCTTGGTGACTTTCTGACATCCTGTGAGGTGTTATATGGGGAAGAACTTAGCAGTGTAAAAACCGGTTCAACGTCTGGCCAAACTCAATCAAACAAGCTGTGTCCCTTCAGAAGCTCTCCGAGTCACTCGGGTGAGAAGTTGTGCGGTGGTCCTCTCCTAAGCGTTAGCCCCCCGACTCGATTAGGGATCTCCATGCTCAGAGCATCTCATGGGACCGGGATCCCGTAGGACACACCTTGAGAGGTGCTACCCAGTCTGCACTAGACATCCATAGCAGGCTGCCTCCAGAGCCCCGGAAATACCCAAATCCACAGGTGCTCAAGTCCCTCATAGAAAACGGCGTAGTATTTGCCTATAACCACCCTCTAGCCTATGTTAAATCACCTCTATCACAATCACCTCTATTTAAGCCATCTCCATGTATAACACCTAGCACAGGGACATGTCACGTCAGCGTCGTTGCACTGTATCGCATGGGGAATCGTGGCAAGCCTGTACGTAGTCAATACAACTCAGTGTGAGGTGCAGGCGGAGCGGTGCACCTGTTTTAGAGTATGCTAGTGGGCAGACAGCAGGGAAGTGGTGGCACTGAGTGCCCTGGCTGACCCCAATTCAGTGCGGTGGGTGGCAACACCAGAGCTGTGCTGAGGGGTCTGCAGAGCCCCGCTCTCACCATGGAGGGTGTCACACTATACCCAGAGGTTCCCTTGTTGCCCCCTAGCACTGGGGAACTCTCACGAGGAGCCCTGCCCCAGCCCTGCTCCTAACCGAGGAAGGCTGAAGGAACTTCTCTAAGGGCTATCAGGTGCTGTCCACAATGTCCCTGCCACCTGCTCCACCTGGGAGAACCTTACTCTGGACAACCTCAACCCCCCTCTCCCCCCACACCCCGCTGGTAAGGCCAGTCAACTGGTCTACCCAGCACTCACTTCCCCCAGAGTGCACCATCCAATCAGAGGCCCAGAGACTCACCGGAAGCACAGTGCCCCACTCAGGACCATCTTGAGCTCCTAGACGCGTAGACTCAGCGATTCTGAAACGAACAACAGAAAATCTTGCTGGGGGGAGACAGAGGCCGAGCTGGCAGGGGTCTAGGTAGGCAGCAGCAGCCTCCTGGGTCTCCCGGCAGGTCAGCAGCCCCCCCTCCAAACCCCACGCAGGGGATTCTGAGTGTGAGGTCAGGCCAGAGCCCCACTCCTGCCCGTGCCCCCAAAAGATACCTCTGAGCGTGCCTTGGTCCTGGCAGGAGCTAGTGATGTTGACCTGCTCCGGTAAGGCCGCCTCTGCCTTTAAGGCATAATGCACCAGGGAGGAGCCTGAAACCGCAGCCACCTGGGGAGGAGCAGGCTTCCAGCGGGAGTGCACACCACCCCAGCGCGCGGGCGGAAGGACGTTTTTGGAGCCAGTCCCCTGCCAGCCATCCGGGTCTTTCCGGCATCCCAGCGCCTGCCAGGAGCAGCTCAAGGAAGACACCCCCTTCCCCGCCGCCCTTCCTTCCCGACCTCTCTCCCTGAATCCCCTTCCTTCCTTCCTTCCTTTGCCAGGCCCATGGGAGATGCTGGAGGCGGGGCTCTGCTGCTCAGGGAATATTTAGGCTACAGATTCATTGTAGCAAAACCTGAAAATCCAGAAGAGCAAAATGTGAATACGCAAGTGTCTTCTGTGAATGCGCTATTAAAAAAAACCCAGTGTGGAGGCCTGCGTTGTGGCGCAACGGGTTAAGCAGCTGTGTAGGATGCCAGCATTCCATATGAGCCCAGGTTCGAGTCCTGGCTGCCCTGTTTCTCAGCCAGCTCCCTGCTATTTCACCCCAGTGCTTGGGCCCCTGCCACCTGTGTGGGAAACCCGGGTGGGGTTCCTGGCTCCTGGCTTCTGCCTTGCCTAACCCCAGCCATTGCAACCATTTGGGGAGTGAATCATCAGTTGGAAAAGTACTTGGCTCCCTGCTACCCATGTGGGAGACCAGATTTGAGTTTCTAGCCCGTCCTGGCTTTGGCCTGGCCCAGCCCTGGTTGTTGGAGGCATTTGGGGAACGAACTAGTGGATTGTTCTCTGTCCGTCTCTGTATCTCTTCATTTCAATTAAAATAAATAATAAAATTTTTAAACAGTGATTTTGGTGCTAAAAATGTTTGAAATCCATGCATAGTTTTTTTTTTTTTGGCTTATTTTATCTTTTTTTCATATTGACGGCAGAATTGCACAGAGGATAAAGACAGAAACAGAATAATAAAGATCTCCCTTTGCTGGTGGG